TGAATTGTGGCAAGTGAATATTGTGCCTAATAAATGGCACCAAACATCATCCTGAAAAGTCCTGCTGGGAGAGTTCTAACCTGCACCATGACCAGTGACAACAAGTCAGCCATGTTTAGAAGTGGGTAAGGTTGAGTGAGCTATGGATTATGTTTCAGGTGAAACATATGGAGATGAGATCTAGTTGAATGCCAGAGAGGAACTTTAGGACAGTTAAAAATACAGATTATGGGAGTATATGGAGAAATAAATGGAAAGGAATATGATAATGTAAGATTACAGACATAATGGGCACTCAAAACGGTTTTTTTTTTCTTTGACAATTTGTTGCAGTACTGTTATACCTTGCTGGTGATGTGGGCTTCTCCTTCTGAGTACTGAGGGAATCATGTGAAGATTTTAAGCAAGTGTGTCTCATAGTCATAGCTACTTATTAATCTATAGCATACAGGATGCTTTACATTCAGGGAACAGTGTTTTCCATGCATTCATGCTGCAGGTATTGTGGAGAAAAAAGTGTGTGTACACTCTGTCCTAAAGGTCAGGGGAGTGCAATAGTAATGGGAGAAATTCTAGTATAGCAGTAAGGGATAAATTCTGTTGTACTGAATGGCAGTATTACATTAAGGTTGGATGTGAAGCATACAATCTAGAGAGATCAGGAGGTAGAACTGACAGAAGATGGCAGTGGACTGGATGGGGTGGGGCTCTCGGAGAAGGAGAAAATAGCCCTGCAAATCTTGACTTGTTTTTTTCTTTCTTTGCTCTGACAGCCTGTGACTTTGTGGGTGTTTCTCTCTCTGTACAACTAGTTTGCAGTTTGACCAGCTGTCAGTTCTGTCATCCCATTTGGTGGGTGCACAATGGTATGAAAAAATTACGTGTTGTTGACCTTGTAGCAGAGGCCATTTGCTATGAGAAAGCTGTTATCTAAAATTATGCTGAGCAGCTCCTCCTGTCAGATGAGTTTTGTTCTTTATTCTATTATCGGGATGCAGTAGAGTGAGGTCTCGGGGACTGGATGTAGCAGGAGAGGCAAGGTGGCTGAAAACAAAGGAAGAAAAAAGAGAATTGTAAAGCAAAACTAATAGAGTGCTGTGAGAAAACAAAGGTAGTAGAGTGCAAGATTTTAATGGTGTTTGGTTTATAATAACCTAATTCTAAACTAGATTATTGTTATAGCTCAATATTTCTCTAAAGGGCTTTATGAAGACATTAGTATCTATGATACACTGTAGAGAGGTTTCTGAATTGGCATATTTAATAATATGTCTCCTGTTTGTGAATATGATTAAATTTTTTGAATGTGTATTTCCTTCCTTTGTTTTTCACTAATACTGTAGCAGCATTCTGTGGAATTTGTGTCTCAAGGAACACCCTTAGAGAAATATCTGTCTGAGTCATGACTGCAAAATGGTCATTGTTATCTTTTTTTGAGCATTTATTATCTGCTATGCCTAGTGCTGAACTCTTTATATAGATTCTTTCATTATGTATTCATCCCAATAACACTATAGGTAGGTGTTGTTATTATCCTCATCTAACTGACAATTAGTATAGTCAGAGATACTAAATAGTTTGTTCAACGTCACCTAAGTAGTAAGCAGTAAGTCTAACATTAAATTTGGTCTAACAGTCCAAATGCCCAATCCCTTGCCAATTTTTCTGACATATTACAAGGTACACCAAGAGTCTGTGAAGCCAGCTTAAATCATCTCATGAATGGGACTAACCAGGGACTCAGGAAGCAGGTTTTATAGATGACTGAATGTTCTCCAGTCTCATGGTCGTTGAATCTTCAGTGCATGTTGGTCACTGAGCAGGCAAGTTCACTGACAGCATCCTATATTATGGTAGGAGAGAAGGAAGCAGATCTGGAAAATTACAGGATCAATGCAGGTAGGAGAACCAACAGAAATAAAATCACATAAAGGTCACATAATTAAAAGCCAGTAGAGCTTGGATTCAAACCAACTCTGACTCAGAATTTCATGTTTTTAATCATTCATCGCCTCCTCTTCAACATCTGAATTAATTTGCACGAGTTTTCCAAGCTAAGAAATGTTAACATTTATCTACATTAAACTATATAATGGATTGATTTCTTTTCCCATACAGTTACCGACATAAAAGACTTCTTTTCAAATGACAGGTTGCCAGTGAAAAATAGTTTTGGAAATTTGGTGTTTTGGAGGTTAAGACATGAAGAAAAGGATAACAAGGAGAATTTAAGTGTAAAGAAATTAGACTAGGGGAAGAAGTGACCCCAGGAAATTGAATCAGAACCACAAAGGTCAATGGTTTCGGTGGTTATGCAAAGGAAGTTCCTTGTAGCACTTGCATCTGAAACACAATAGGTGACAGAAATACATTTTATCTCTCTTATAAATAAGTATGGAAGGATTCTACTTCTTATAAATTTTTTTGTTACACCTTAGCCATGTGGTAGCTAATGAAAGGATTGTAAAACTGACAGTTCTGGATTTGAATTTGTAATGCTACCATAAAATTGGCCTAAGTAAAACTTTCAAGTTTCTTCTGCTGGGGACTGGTCATGGATTATGAATATTCCAAATTTGTTTTGAACAGTAAATGAAAAATGTTGTATAAATTACAAAAGAAAATCAGTTCTAAAGCATATTAGGTTTTTCATTTCTTTGATGTAGCATAAGCAGTCTGACTCACATTGATTGTTGGTTCATTGGTTACATCATAATATGTTATTGCATGTGATACAGGCTGTTTGAGGCTGACATAATATCACAATTTACAGGTACTATTTTTGGATTGACGTCATTTCATCTTAAGGCAAACATGTGGTATCTAACCTTTTGGGATTGGCTCATTTCTCTTAGCATAATGGTTTCCAGTTGGGCCCATTTGGCCACAAAGAACTGAATTTTATTTTTTTTTAATAGCTGAATAGTATTCCATGGAGTAGATGAACCATAGCTTTCTTATCCAGTCTTCTGTTCATGGGCATTTTGGTTGCTCCCAAGTTTTTGCAAGTATTGATTGTGCAGTGATCCTGACAGCCTCTTAACAGGAGGTCGTATGCACGGAGCAGGGGGTGGAGGAAACCCAGAATGGAGCAGGAGGACAGGATGAGGCTTGTATCCCAACCCTGGAGACTCCTGGATCCTCACCTAGGACTATCAGCACGGGCACCAAGGGCTATATCCCAACTGCCAAGGAGACCACTGGAAATTAGAGTGCCCTCATTGGCCAAGAACTCTGAGGTCATCCACTCCCTTTTAGATCTCCCACATAGGATGGAAGAAGCCCAGATCCTTCCTTACGGGATCTAATGTCATTGGAACAACAGCCAGGAGCCCTGAGCGGACCTCAGAAACAGAAGAGTAAACTTCCTTTGGGACTCGGGAGAGGAGATTTCTCTGGTCCTTACTTAGTTCCAACTTTGGATCCCCACCTTCTCTTGCAATGACCATTAGGGTCATTTTTTGAGGCGGGGGCTCTGGATACCCCCCCAAGTGAGATTAGATAGACAGAGACCAATAAGGAAAGCTTAGAATAGACAGGAAATGATCAGCTTGGATTCATATGTACCTTACTAGGTAGGACACAAAGATTAGTTACTCCTCATTAAGATATTGACGATTTCACTGCACACCCCTCTTAAAACTTTTCTGTGCCCCAACTGTTGACATATACCTTGTTAGAGTTATAAGCCTGTTTGGACTATCCTAAAATTTGCCAAGTTCAGTAAAAATCATGTTTCAATACTATAAGCTGCTAAATATAAAAATGAAAATAGACACAAGAAAGCTGAATAATACCCTATAACCGTTTTTAAGATGTATAGCAACCGGTTGTGTATACACTAAACTTGAAATGTCAGTGAAGTAGTCATAGGATGTGGCTAAGAACTTGCCTTTTTTAACGTATTGGACACTCAATACCATGTCAATTAACTCCATAATGTTGTAAATTGTTGTTGATGTTATGTTGTGGCTCTTCTTTGGAGGGAATGATAGTCTACCAGCTCTAGTTTCAGACCAGGGATGATCTCCTGAGGAAACTTTTGAACTTATCTGGACAATAAGATGCTGGACTCTATGCATGGTACATGCTTGCAATGAAGGAATCATGACTGGATATGAACTGTACTACTGCAACAATGTGGAGGAATCCATCATGAGGGGAAGGCATGGGGAGGGGTTGGGAGAATCCCAGAGCCTATGAAACTGGCACAAAATGAAATTAAAAAAAAAAAAAAACAGTTACATGAAGCCATCCAAAAAAAAATTTCAGGGCTGAGTTTTATTGTAGGTAATTACTGTTACAAATGTTTAATTTTCCTCATTTTTGGCTCAGCTTGAAATTTCATAATTTTGTATTTTTCATTTTCATCTTATCTTTTTTCCCCCAATTCTGATAATGAAAAGTGAATTCTAACAGCATTGTGTCTCTGGTAGTGGAGTTGTGCACATTAGATTGGTCATGTTAGTATGCATTAAGAAAATAAGTTTACCAGATGATCTTTTAAAATCCATTAGAAATAAGATATTCAAAGCTGTTTTATTCTATATAGGAATTCATCTAAATATTTTTGTCTAAACTGCTTATTGTTTGCCCTGATTATGCAACTTGGCTTTGAAAAAGCAACCTTTAGAGAAAAGGAAAAATATTACTGGACTTATTTACAGATGATTCAGATGGGTCTTGTTAATATTCATAACCTAAGTCTATGTTTACATGGAATGAAAGTGTATAGTATTTCCAAACTGATTCAGTATGTTCACAAATAGATAAACTGGCTACAGCCTTCACTTACTTCTTGCACCATTGCTAGGTTTTTTTGCATGAGGAACATTTATCTTCCCCTTCATAGTTTCTGTATGGTGAACAGCATTTTATATACATGAAGTGCAGTTTCAGGAATTAAAGGTGCTTGGGTGTCACAGAAGTCTCTAAATACAGCACAACTATAGTGGAAAAATGCTTTCATGTGCTTCATATTTTTCTTTTTTCATTTTCAGGATGAGTAAGAGATATTTACAGAAAGCAACAAAAGGAAAACTGCTAATAATAATATTCATTGTCACCTTGTGGGGGAAAGTTGTATCCAGTGCCAACCATCATAAAGGTAAGCTCTTGTTTTGTTGTATAAGTTCTCTGTGCGAGATGACTTCTACTGGAGAATCACGTTCCGTCATCATTGGTCTATTCAATTTTATCAGATATGGTTCCCTACTCCCCAGCGATTCTCCTTAAGTAAAAATGTGCAGAGTCATCTTCAGGATGGTTTTCAGAAGGGAAGCATATTTCTAGGATTACTGTTATTTTGGCAAATGTGTGCAGAGAGTGCAAACCTGTAACTCTGCCTTCTCTCCCTATTTTAAGGTAGTACTGTTAAAAATGTAGGTTGACATGTAAAGAAGTTTCAGGTTTCTACAGCAATGATAAATACCTTAATGCATGTAGAATTGTAGCTTTTCCTTCAGTGTTATGTGTTGGTGGTAACAGTGGTTATGTCTCTGAAGGGCAGAAACGTTTTTTGGGTACTACTATTTAGCAAGCTCAATTCAACATAGAGTAAGAATATTTGCCCCCATGCATGTATGTTAAACTTAATAGCTCAAAATTATACCTTTTATGTCCTCTCTCCTGGCCACAAGGCACTAGATGATGAATAACTACCTTTTCAAAGTGAATTAAAATGGGACCTTTTTCTCAACTGATAATCAAGTATTCCTGACACAAGGCATCAATTTAGATTTTTCTGTGAAATATGGTAACTTTGCAATTCAATCTGAGTCCTCTGTGAAGCCTGGGGACTAGCAACTGGCTGGGAAGTGGGAATTCTATAACTCTTAAATTAGCCGCACACATGCATTTAATTAGTATTACATGGACCATTAACACCAGGGATAAAAAAGATATGGTATGAGGGAGTGAAGCCTATTAGGTGAATTTCTTCTGCTTGGATTAGAAACCCAAAAGGACATCTTATGAAGCTGAATTTTATGAAGATATCTTCATCCATATTCCATGATCGTATTTTTTGATTCACGGTGTTTTTGAGTATACATGTAAATATGTGTGTGTGGCCGGGAGGGGTGTGAGGGTGGATGTATGTGTATTTTAAACAGTGCACTGACTGATTCAAAATGGGCATAATGTTTCCTTCATAATTGTAATCATTACCAAATGAAGACTGCATTCTCTATCTCCCAAAATGACCCAGACCTAAGGACAATGAGTGCTTTAAAAATAGCTGCAGGTCATTATGTAAAGTGAAATAAACCAGGCACAGAAAGACAAGTTCCATTTTGATCCCACTCAGATGTGGAATCTACAAAGAGTGGACCTCATAGAAGGCACAAAAAGAGTCTGTGGAGATGAGGCAGGGCACTAAGATATGTTATGGAAAAGTTAGAAGTTCTGGTGTTCTTTTGCACAGCATAATGACTGCAGATAATGCTTAGATACTCTGTATTTCTTAAAAACAGAAGAAAGGTTTGAGAATGAGTTAACCATAAGTATAGTAAGTATTTAAGGAGATAGATAGGTTTAGCATGATTGGACATTGCACAGTGGTACTCCTAGTATAATTTTCATGTGCCACGTAAAAGTATTCAAAACAACAGTAACAAAGCTGAAAAGTTCTGGGTCCAGCCCAGTGTCAGAACCAGCCAGAGCACACACCAGCTCTTCTATTCCCGATGCTCACTGCTTGTTCCTAACCAACAAAGATAATTGGAAAGATTGGGGAATTTGAAAGAATTACAGGGAATAGCTGGCACAGTGAGGATTCATCTCCCACGCCATGAGAAAGGAACTTCCAAAGAACCACTGGCAAGGACAGCCTGAAATATGCACCACATGCCATTGGTAAAGACGCTTTTAAGAATTTTTAGGTCGTGTTATGTTCTGGGATAGCTCTAGTTATAAGATACTTTTCGTCTTGTCAGGAAAGCATTTGTTGGACTCCTAAACATGCTAGCTTTATGAAACTCAATATGATATGGAAGATAGAGTTCTGTTGGTTTGTTCCCATCTTGTCTATGATATTTTAGATGAAAAGTCTCTCCTTCTCTTCCTTTCATCTTTACCTTCCTTTACACCTTACTTCCTCCTTTCCACTATTGCCTCTCTTGTTCCTTTGCATTTTCTTTTGGGGAGTTGGTTGACAAACAAAATGAAACAATGTATTTATGAGCTGTTGCCCAATTGCGTAAAATGGGTGATGGTATATACTCATCAACCCATTGAAAAATGTGTTATTTTTAATTCTCTGGCCCCCAACTGTGTCTGTGACCCAGATGTCTATCCTTTGCTTTTTTACTCAGGATAATTACTTTTCTAAGTTTTGCAATTATAACTGCATTGTTTTTATTTATCATTATACTGTACATTTAAATGTATATGTCCAGCAGACATATTGTCCAGTTTTGGTGGTTCTTAATTTTACATAAATGATATTACACTGTACAGATTTTCTGTAGTTTGTTCCAGGAATCTGAGAAATAAAATTTGTTATAGTTAATGGCATGTTGTTATACTACATTCAATTTTAATGTACATGTTTTAATTTTAATTGCTACATGTTTTAGTATATGAAGTCACCATAAATCTACTATTTATTCTCTAAAATATGAACATTTGATATTTTGTTTCTTTTCATTGTTAGCAGTGATCCTATGAATATTCTTGTGTTTGTCTTTTGATGTACCTGTGCAGGGTTTTCTTAAGTCACTATTTCCTAGGAATGAAATGGTTGATTATGGAGTACGCATATTTTTAGTATTACCAGAACAGGCCAAGTAGTTTTCCAGGATGATAGCAATAACAACACTGTTCAAGGCAATTTCTTTTTTATCTTTTTCTATTCCTGTTTTTTTGTAGTTCTATCTCTTCATTCAGCCTGGATATTGTTCAAATGAGCCATATCTCTTCTTGATTGATTTCACCAGAAGTTGGTCAATTTTATTAGTTTTCGGAGACTCAACGTTTGCCTCTCGATGTGTTTACTTCTTTCTTCTTATATTTCATTATTTTAGACTTATCTTTATGTTAGTTTAATTGTTGTTTTTGTAGAAAACTTTATGTTAACACTGAGTATATGCCAGGCACCTGTGCAGAAGTCACATTCAATGATTTTTACTGCTGTTGTAAAAAGCGCTAGCTCCCAAGACGTCCTCTATCATGAGAAATTGATATGTGGTCATTTGTAGAGTTAAATGATGTAGTTCAGATGGATAATGAAGCTCATATCATCTCTAAAAGTGGGATAATTGTACAGTTTCGACTAAGCTCTTGAGGTATCAGAAAGCCTGGAGGGCTCACTCCCCTAAAACAAAGCCAAGGCAGTGGAGACACCTGTGGTGTATCTAATCCTTGGAATATACATTTGAATTCTAACTGGATAGAGTGGGGACCTAGGATTCTTTCCATCTTATCTCAAAAAAGCAAATTATTTTTCTCCAAGGAAGGAAAAGGAGTGGCTGTCTGTCTTAAACACAAATATAAAACAATTTATTATCCTCTGTCACACAGCTAGAGTATTTGGTTGGCTTTTTTGGTATGGTTTTATTCCAGTGTTAGGCCTGAAGCAAGATGGACTGATTTGCTTACTCTTTATTGTGAGATCTTTTATAAGAATAGGTTTTCGATCCAAGACAGCTTGGTGAGCATTCTAAGGCAAAATAATAAAGATTAACATTAGAAACCCATAGCACTAGAGAGCATTACAAATGCCAATTTACTTCATTTAACCTTCATAATGGTCTATGAGGGATATACCATTTAAAATCATTCCTCTATATCAGCAACTATGTTGAAGAAAAGTAACTTATCAAAGGTTTCTTCGTTAGTAGTTATTGGAGGTAGGAAGTCTTGCTCCACATAATTGTGACATGTATCTGGTAGTAAATTTCTTTATTTTAATACTTTTTGAATTCAGTTGATTTTATTTATTTTTATTAGGAAGGCAGAGAGAAGGAAAGACAGGGACAAAAATTCACTCCCCAAATGATCACAATGGCTGGAGCTAAGCTGATCCGAAGCCAGGAGCCTGGAACCTCTCCTGGGTCTCCCTCATGGGTACAGGGTCCCAAGGCTTTGGGCCATCCTCTGCTGCTTTCCCAGACCACAGTTAGGGAGGTGGATGGGAATTGGAGCAGCCAGAACATCCATCAGTATCCATATGGGATACCAGCACTTGCAAGTGAAGGATTAGCCAGTTGAGTTATTTTGCCAGTCCCTAGCTGACTTCTTATGTATAGATTAGAATACTTTCTTTTTTTTTTTAAAGAAAGTATTTATTTGAAAGGCAGAGTGACAGTGAGAGTGGCAGACATAGAAAAAGCACGATGTGAGAAGTGGGATGGAGGGAGGAAAGAGAGAGAAGAGAGAATGAATGAATGAGAGCAAGAAAGAGAAATCTACCCATGTGCAAGTTCACTCTCCAAATAACCACAGCAGGAATGGGGCCAAATTCCCCAGGAATGAGGAACTCCGTCTTGGTCTCCCACATAGGCAGTAGGTTCCCAAGCACTTGAGTTATTATCTGTTGCCTTCCTTGGGTGTGTTAGCAGAAAACTGGATCAAAGGCAGAACAGCAGGAACTCCCACCAGTGCTTGATAGGGTAGGCTCATGTCGCAAGCTGTGCCACAATACTGGCCCTGGCACTATCTCTTGAAATGGTGTTCTTCATCACTATTTCAATTAGATTAGAGTTCAAGTTAGGTGTTATTGTATGTAAATTTTCTTAATCTGTTATCTGTTCTAGACTTTTAAAAATATTTTCTACCTTCCAAGTTTTTCTGTGCTATATTCAGTTCTACTTTCTCCCACCCTAATTCTACTGTTCTCTTGTATCTAATCAACTGTTTAGCCCACACATTGAATTTGTATTTCATTTATTATATGCTATTAAAATTATTTTCTAAGCTAATATGTGTACTTCTGATACCTTTCCTTCTAATTCATGTTTTCACTCCCTACCCAAATGTGCATGTTTCTCCCTATCTGATAACTATGATTTTAAAATATTTATTTTTAGGGGCAGGTGTATTGGCACAACTGGCTAATCCTCTTCCTCTCCAGGCACTGTCATTCCATGTGGGCACCAGTTCATGTCC